TATAAATTATTAGTAATGAAACTTTAACATTAAATATTTCTTTAAAACTCGTCTTTTATAATAATAAAATCAGTCAAGTCTGTTAAAACAACCACTAAATATTGTATTGAAATAATCCTTTTTGTTCCAAAATTCAATGCTCCCACGCGGGTTTATGGATTCGTGTCCTGCTGAGAACATTGGATAAACATTTTTTTAAAAGTAAAATCTTAAAGATCGATTGTATCGATATCGTCTTCCTCATCAGTTTCAGGAATAATGTCTTTAACAGTTCCTAAAGTCGATAGATGTAAATATCCTTGGCCACTCGTATAGGGTTAGGTTTGTCATAGAGTGGTGGCAAACCAACTCTGTCGGCACCTATTAGATCTTGGTTTTGTATTTTTTGTATTGTATTTGTATTTTGACAATTGAACGTGACAAGCACATATCTTTTACCTATATTTGCCTACGAGGTGTATTAGTAAATTTTTCAGACGCCCAGCTTCCCAGTTGATAAAATTTTGTATGGTTCAGGACGTTTTCTTGCATATTCTATCTACGTCGGTCATAGACTAGGACTCCATATTCCACCATAATAATTCATCTAATCTCATCTATCTCATTAATCTCAGTTATATACGGTGTAATTCCTAGAGTAATATATAAAATATAACAACGTACTGTGACGCCTCATAATTATTATTAATAAATAATAATTAAATTCATTATACAGACATTTAAAAATGTCATAGAAATTATAATTTAAACAATAAAATGCTAATAATAAGCATAGAGTTCAAAAATATCCATTTGGAATATTGAATATTATAATATTAGTAAACGCATAAAATGTCTCTAAAAATCTCTAAATTTATTAAAAACCTGCTTAAAATGTTAAAAATGTACCAAATCATATAAATACAAGGCGATTATATTGCAATAACAAAGATAAATAACATTTGTAATATAATAGAAAAAATGGATTAAAATTTTTGATGAAGGTGTTCGTGTAATAATTGGAAAATTTCTAAGTTAATGAACGTGTTCTTGTAATGTCCCCTTATATTGGGGCGTTGTCGGAGACACATACCCAAGGTTGTACATATATATGGGGTGGTCGGCTGACCGACTGCTAGTACTAAGGTTGCACAATGACTAGTCCTATATTAGGGACTTAACATAGTAAGGTCTGACGAACCAAAGCATTAATATAGAAGGTCTCTATGATGCATAAGCATTATGATAGCAGAGTTATGACTTGAAGTCCCATATGAATAAGACATACAGTAGTATGGTCTATGAAATAAAGCAAATATGTGGAAGGTCTCAAATATGTAAAAGCATTATATTGAAAGAAATAGGACTTGAAAAGGATTATTATAGTGGCATGTAGGTTGCTTCGCAGCCTCTGAGACCGAGGTAAACTTGGACTCACTAACCGACGTGTCCTAGACATATCATCTTAGTGCCGGTGGTAAGCGGGTTTGTTGTAGCAATACGACTTGCCCGTGGACATCGCACACCCTACCGTTTGTGGGCGGCGTCTTAGCGCATAGCGTTATGATACGTCGGCTATCTTTCGGATTACGGTGAGTGTGTTTGGTAGTACTTTTAAGTGCAGCAAGCATACTCAACTTCATGTCTTAGTGCAATAGCGCTATGATACGTGGAGTTTTGGCTACTGACGTCTTAGTACCGTGCTACTATGATACGTTGGTGGTATTTTTAGTTAACAACATTATCAAATTTTGTTACCAAAGTCGATAGGGATCATGTGGGTGTGTTGTGAGGGGGCGCCATCTGTATGATAGTTGCATTGATGCTTACTGCTACTTGCAGTATTGTGTCTTGTGATGGATCTGCGGGTGTGCTGCACCTGAATTGACGCATCTTGTGGTTCTGGTCGATGGAGGTATGCGGGTGGTGATGTCTGCTGGGACTGTATGGGGGATCTTGGGATGGTGTAAGCCCGACGATAGGTCGTATTGATGCTTGTTGCATTCTGTAGCATTGCGTCTCTACGATGGTTGTTTGGCGGGTCGCTATTCTCAATGGCGCTCTCTGCGTCTTGGTTTGACTCACAACCTAAGTAGCTTTGCCCAAGTCGGGTCCCTTCATTGCGGGGCTGCAGACTGTCTGTCCTCCATGATGTTTTATATAACAACTTAATAATATATCTCTATAAAGTTCCCACCTTTGAGAGATTGAAGGCAACTTGTTGGTGGGTGAGACAAACATGATCGAAAAATGCATATACTCAACGTCAGTGACACAAACCCTTTCTGATGGCGAATTATTACTATTATCTTATAACTGCCTATTGGCTATATCTGCCATTGTATTGGTTGGTGGAGCATATGTATCGACCTCATGCGGGTGGTAGCTGGAGGGAGAATCTGAGGAGCCTCTCAAGGCTGCGGCCGAAAGCCGCGCAACGTGGAACCCCATTCCCTTGAGGTGAGCGGTAGACTCATGACACGCTCTGCGGCCAATTGGCCGTGCTAACCATGCAATTGGTGGTGATGCCTTACACTTACATCACGTCTGCAGAAACGGCGATCTGGCAAGTGGTGGCGCTCACGGAGGGCTTTTTATGGTCAGTGTGCCGATTGTTGCCTAACCCGTGTGACGTATATTTCACTGTGGCTGGATTTGATCGTATTCTGTATGGCGTTTACACGCATTGTCGGTCGATGTTTGTGCTTACGCACTATCACGGGGCCAAGTCCTCTTTTACTGGTTCGCCAGTTATTTTGTCCAGTTCCCAACTTTGCGTACCCTTCGGGGGGAGCGCATTAAAATGGTTGGCGCTCACCGTGCGCGGCGTGTGTGGGGCCGTGTACCTCCTCCACATTTTTTTTAAAATGTGGGAGAGCGAAGCCTTTGTAGCTGGTATTTGATATAAATATTGTGAGCCTTTTCCAAGCGAGAAGGGATTAATTAATAAGGAATTGACTGTTGTGAACCAGATACAAGTGGAATAGGGACAATTTATTGTTCTTAACCTTTTTGAGCTCTGTCTTCGTGAACGGGGTTCTTTAGCTTATAAGACTCTACCAACAGCTTTTGATTGCTCTCATGAATATTTATTCTTCCAAGATACACCTAAAAGAACTAAGTTACTATACAAACACAACGTAAAAAAGGGTCCTAACTAAGATGATCACGCCATAAATTTATTAAACGGCCTATATTTAAACCTTTAGAAAGATCAAGATATACTGGTCACGTAAATTAGATATATTTATATATCTGACAGATATAGATTCTAAAGAAATACAAGTATAAGTGGATATATAGTAGAAAAGAAAAAAGATGGGGGGGGGGGTCTTCGTTACAGTACTCTCTCCGTGCTTAATACTCCTCGTATTAAGCACTATTTGCAGGTCGAAGCTGACTGTGAGCGTATCTTCGGAAGTTAATTTCTGATATATTTTAAATCTTTGGTAGCTAGCCTTTTTTCCCTCAAGATGAACAGCCATGTCCTTGATTTCATTTTCTGATAATATTTTTTTATTTTCAGATTTTGTACAGATTACACATTTGTCTTTTTTGGGTGTATGGAATCGAATATTGTAATCATCATGAAATATTTTTATAAATACTTTTTCGCTAAGGTATAAATTAGAATTATTTCGGCAGTGTTTGACATGAATTCTAAATACATTTGTAGCTTTTTTAAATTCTTGAGGTAAACACAGATATGAACGCTTTTTACGACAATAATGCGAAGGAACGGCTGGAAGGCTTTAGATAAAAGCTTTGCGTATATTTTATCTTCATCAGTATACTTTTCTCAAAATTAGGACAAGAATAAGAATAGACTAGAAATAGGAAGACATTTAGACTTTTTCTTAAAATTTGGATCATAAACGACAATAAAAAACAAACGACCTTTACGCCCTAAATACGTAAGATAAAGCAAATCATAGAATAGGTCGTAAGGATTTCGATTATCAAATAACATGTTTACGACCTCATAAATAATTAAAACATGACTTGGCGCTCCCCATTGAAAATTATTTTTACGATACATCCCAAATAGTAAATAAAAATGAGCTAGATCTGTTGAAAATCTAGGTCGTAAGGGGCTTTTATTAAAAGATAGGATTTATTTAAATACCAATCGATAGAGCTCGCGACGCTGAGTCCAAATGTATATATAACTCATTTTAGGCAAAATGTCCTGTATGAAATATATAATTTTTTTTGAGAACTTTGACATGAAGGGGGCTATTTAAAGTTCTTTATGTTAACTCCACTTTGTTCTTTATAGTATTTTGTTCTTCTTCTGCTACTTCTAAATTTTATGTACTCGTAAGTCTGAACTTGATGACTGTTGCATGATTTGTTATGTCTTTCCTATCTTCTAGCATCTTTTACATCATTTAATCTGTCATAATTTTACTGCCATCCTCGTAAATTGGCTAAGACTCATGTTTACAGTGGACTAGTTATGTTCTTTTGTGCAATAACTAACATTTTTTACGTCGTTGTATTTGCTAATGCTACCGAATGCTAATATTCTTTCTTTTTGTTTTTATAATCTTATGATAAGACACAATCAATTAAATTGAAGAATGTCATCAAAATCAAATAATCATGTTATCAATGAATTAAGCAATCCGTAAGCCGCGTAAATTCGTGAAGAAAGTCATTTGCAAATGATAAATAGACCTAAAAAGACGTGGTGTTATAATTATTGTTTTCTTCTTGATAATAAAAAATACGAGGTATAAAAGTAAAAAGCAAATAAGGTAAGATAATAATATTTTTTTATAAAATGAATTTATCTTTAGAAAAGAAATAAACAAAAAAAAAATGTTTTAAAATTGAAATATTATTGTCTTGACTTTACGTGTATTACTTTACTGTCAAATGTTATCTCTCAATGAATTTATTGTTTACGTAAAGATATGATATATTTGTTGTTTATGGATCAATATCTATTATTAAACATTTATTATGTAAAACTGTTTTGAGTTAAAATTATAAAACAGTATTATCGTTTTTTAGGTATGACGGGGGATATAAGGCAAAGGATAGCCAATGGCACGACAAGAAAGGAATATAAAGAATTGATAGAAACAGATAAAACAAAATATTGGGATCCTCTCACTGAAGGAGTAAAATGGATCGAGCAATACGCGGAACCAATAGAGGAGTTCTTTAAAAAGATACCTGAATTCATTAGTACGTTTATCGCCACATTAGCTATCTTCACACTTGGTGCTACTTTAAGAGGTAAGCTTTACAATTAGGACTGTGTTTATTTTAATGGTTATAATTGATAGGTGACAACTATCTGGCTAAAGCCAATCTAGATAATCTCAAGGACAGTCGTATCATGGCCTTTTGTTGTTCTACAGGATACATTGTGCGTAGAAATTGCACGTCTTAATTACATCTTCTTCCTTCCACCATCAGACAATCAATCCCTCAGTCATTAAAATATAATTCACTCTAATTATTACCTATGTAGCTTATAATAACAAATATCACAATCGTTTTGATAATTATTTAAATTAAATTAAAACTATTACATTCAAATATCAACACAAATAAATAAGAGCCTATATATTTAGACGCTACAAATCTAGCAACAAATCTTTACATCGCATCGGTTACAATGTCATTAAACTTAAGCCTAATATTTTTTACTTCTCTGATCACGAGGTTATCTAATCTCGAAATTATCCGCGTAATTTGACGTAACAAAAGGCAATCACGTTATTGATAAACTTTGTCTATCACAAATTAATAGATATTGTTTTAAGCGATCTTTATAAATGTACCTGATCAAAATTCAAACGGATTTTTTTATAAAACTGATAAGATATGTAAAATACAAGCTATCATGTTAACTTTTTAATCTTTTTTATGTAAAGTTAGTTTGGTTTGTACACCAAAATACAGCATAACGAGTAGAGTTAAATTTAAAGTATAATATGTACAACAGGCGATTTGTGCACATTATACTTTAGATTTAACTAGGTTATTAACTAACACTACCAATTCTACGAGGTAGAACCACGTTGCAGACATAGTATCCCCTCATGTGCCCGACCAACATATGTTTTTACGCTTCAAGTGTCAGGGACCGTTATTACAATAACCATTAAGACAACAATGAAATTGTGATTTACCTTAGTTTTATTATAGGATAAGGGTGACAAGCGAGCACACGGTCCACCTGATGGTAAGAGGTTGCTGTGACCCATAGGCATCTACTTCTGTCCTCATTTGCGAATCAAAATGCAAATGCATTTTCAGCCGTGAAGGCTAAGATGGAATGCCTCTTTTCCAGTAAAACGGGTATCCGGTTCTTTACACTCACCATACGAAACACAGCAGCATCAAGCTGCTATTTTATGCTGGTATTCTGTGAGAGCGTGGTCCTTCCCCGGTCGAGCTGACTATTCGTGTTACAACTATACAATTAATATAGCTGCAGCATGGCTCTACCACGTTAAAAATAGGTTATCTCAAAAGAGCAAAAATAATTTTAATAAAAAACAAAAGCCATCTTCAAACAACTAAAGAGAATAAGATAATTTCTCAATCTGAATTGGAAGCTTGAATTCTTCAATATAAAGTGTATAGGAGAATTGAAACTACCCTCTTAGCACTGACTGTGAAATTATCATATTGTTATTTTTTGTTTTTGTAAGCGGCTTTTACTTTATACTCGTATTAAAAGTATTTTTTTATTCATTATAGCCGGTGTCGCAACGCTAAAGTTATTCTGTGTAATTTTGTCATGCAATCTGGCAAATATAATCCTTTTTTGTCATGAATTCTTTTGCAGACGAGTATGACTGTATGGCAAGATATTTTTATTTAATAGAGATCATTTTTATTGCCGTTTTATAGCAGTGTGATAGAATTTAACGGCATTTGTAACTCTCCTTCTGTGAGAATTTTTTTGGAGAATCGTACAGATATTGGAAAAGCCATCTCGTTGTTGAGTTTTCATTGCATAGTAAACACATTAATTTTCAATCATCAATCAATTATAATAAGTGGTAGATGCTATCTTATAGTTGTAGCACATATGGGTCCGCTCGACCGGGGAAGGACCACGCTCTCATAGAATACAAGCGTAAAATAGCAGCTTAATGGTGCTGTATTTTGTATGGCGCGTATAGAGAAGCGGATACTTTTTTTACTGGAAACGAGCCATTTCATCGTAGTCTTGAATTTTGATTCTTAAACGAGGATAAATGTAGTTGTCCATGAGCCACAGTAAGTGGACTTACCATCATCTGGACAGTATACTAATTTTTCACCCTTATTCTATAAAAAAAACAACAATTTGATGAGGATAGATGTAGTTGTCCATCGGCCACAGTAAGTGGACTTACCATCAATTGGACAGTATACTAATTATACACTCTTATTCTATAAAAAAAATTTTGATGACTTTTAGTCCAACCATCAATAATATACTACAAAACTATTGGTAAATGTAATTATGCATGCACTAATCGCATTAAAAAATACGTATAACGAGATTATATGAAATTTTTAAAGTTGTTTAAATACACACACGTTTTCAATAATAACCTTATCATACCAATTTTTCAATGATTTTATGTCAAACTTCAATTTAAAAAAAAAAAAGTTTGTTAAATCCAAAAGTGCACGACTCATAATGCTCATTTGATTATCATATCATCATTCAGGTCACTCCATAAAATCCAAGACGTATTTAAGTATTTAAGTTTTTACTATTATTTATTCTGAGCTTTTAAAATATTGTAATAAAATCTCCCATTATTATAATAATCAAGTATGTATGAAATTTGGTTTTTAAAATATTTTGTATTTTTGAGCCGCTGCAAACAATCGATACAGTATCCACTCACAACGGTGGTTGACGCTTGACGCCGAAGTTAGTGAGTCTGTTTAGTAAAATAAATTAATACAAGGCTGCTAAAACACCGAAAATTTCGACACTTCGCAGCCGAAAAAAATTAATTATAACTAAACAAAACAAAGTTAAATTGCCATTTATATTCCATAGCTTACACATGCCACATGATAGATGAAGAGATTAAAAAATAGGTTGAGTTAAACAATTAATATTTTCAAAAGTTATCGTGTTTAACACTCCATACGGACTTGATAAATATATACCATAAGCCACTAAAATCATTTTTTTAGCAATTGCAATTAGCAATTAATCGATTTAAAAAAATATTAATGAGTTCAATATCATTTATCTTTCCGACAATGTGCTTTTTATATCATTTATATGTTCAATATAATTATTAGATACGATTTTATGCGACAAAACGTTGGAATCTTGATTTTTCGGCGCTAGTAGAACATACCTACGCGCTTTGCGCTTAAGGCATGCAACAGGATTTCGATAAAGTATTATAATCTAAGAAAAGAAAATAATCGACTATTAATCTGTCATAAAAGAGATGGTTTACCGCCATCTGTCCTTTTGAAAAATAATAGAAGCTCATTAGCTTTACGAACATATATAGAAAAGCAAATAAAAACCAGGTTTAGGAACAGGATAGTCGACACTCATCTCAATTACTGTGGTCAACAATGAAACTTTTAGACAGTTGTCAAAACCATTCTTTAAAATGATTGTAAAATTGAATATGACGTCTAAGTTTCATTCGCAAGAGTAAACGTCTATTTTGTATATCCTTAAATATTAAAAATCTACCTCATTTTGAGACTACTAACAGAACCAAATTCAAATTTCACGATGTACATAGAAAAACATAAAAATCAAATTGAAGCAATTTACGGTGAAGGCTATGGCGTATTTTGGTATATAGTTATATAGTTAACATGCTTGGCAGGCACGTATGCAACAATGTTTTATTTTTTTATTTTTAAGTTGTGATTAGAAAGATGCTGCTTTCCATAACCTGTTTCCATTCCCTCTTTAACCCTTAATGGCATTAAAGGGTATCGATATGGGGTAGTGGATATACTTTTACCGCCACAATATAGTCATGTAAACACAGAGTAACATATCTCTATATTATATAAAAAAAAAATTGCTGTCCGTTAGTCTAACTAAAACTCAAAAACTTCTCGACCTTTTATGATGATTTTATTTTTGTGTTTTAAATGAGTCCCTAGATGATTTAGATTCGCATTTGTGCGACCCGGTAGGTTCGCTAGTTCATTTCATAATAATATGTAAGAATTGTTTGCTCACTTTACTTGTAGAATGAAAATAATATTTAGTTATTTCATTGCGTATTCTATTCCTTATTTTTATATTCCTGGCGTCTCGAGTGCTTTCCAATAACCAATTACGTTGTTTTCGAAATATAAATTCTTAAACTAGACTGCTATTTGCTCCTGTATTGTAATAATAATTGCAATAAAAAACGAATAATAGTGTCTAGATGCAGTGCTCCTTGTTATTTTAATCGACGGTATTTAAATACAATGCTCGTAAATGATATGTATTAAAGGATTTGATTCCGTCAATGTACTCGGTTGAAAACACACCTGTAATACTTTGCTTCGTAATTTTTAGTAAATAATCGTAATTAAAGTGCCTATTTAACGTCAAATTTACTACTAATTTGAAGAAGACAAATGAACAAAGATTGTAGTGAAAATTAGAATCCGAAAATTCATCGGTAAGGTCAGGTTAAAAGCAAAAATATTTCTAAGTATTTATATCGGCTGGATCGGCACTGACCTATGACAACTATATGATTTAATGTGTCTCAATATAACGGAGGAACAATTTAACATACTTTCGCAAAAGTACAGAGTCGAATGGATATGCCCGTCATGTGTTTGCTCCCTACCAAAAAAAAGTAACATGTTAACGCCAGTGCGTTTCCCAGCGGCTTCCATGAATGATAAATACACAATGAGCCTCAATGACAACGTCACAAGAGGGAATAAACAAAAGGGGGACTTCAGGAACGAAGTTAAAGACATAGTACGCGACGAACTGAAAGTGCAAACATCAGCCATTACCAAATGCTTTGAAGAGAGGCTATGCGAATTTTCGAAGGCACTTGAGTCCAAAGACTTGGAAATCATTTCATTAAAATCATTAGTTAATTAGTTACAGCAACAAATCACCGTCCAAGACCAACACTTGATGCGAAATGAACTGTCGGAGGAAAACATTGAAAATCTCACGCATATCGTTCTCGCTACTTGCCAAAAGCTCGGAGTACAAGTATCCGAAAATGAACTGGATGAAGTGGTACGTGTAGGCCCTAAACATTCCTCAGGCTTAA